AAAAGCAGAGGAAGAATGCTACTTGAAGAAGATGAAGCTACAAACCAGGGAAAGCTGGAAGAGACCAGATAAGTCTTCTCTGTGGGAGCCTTTGGAGGGAGAAGGGCCTCGCCAACACCCTGAGGTCAGACCAGCTTTGGTGGCATAGTCTGTAGGGAGCTGCATTACTAACCCAAAGGTTTGGACCTCTCTGGCAGTTCAAATCCACCAGTGACTCCCAGGGAGAGAGGCAATCTCTTCTCATGAGACTTATAGCCTCAGAAAACCTACTGGAGGGTCAACTATGGGTCAGTACTGACTCCAAAGCAATGGGTGAGAGTAGGAGACTGCAGTGAGCTCAAACACAGCGAGGAGAGTGGCGCAAGGCCGGACAGGGTCTTGTCTTGCTGCACACAGGCTGCCTATGAATCAGAACTGACTTGATGATGCCTAACATCACCCTCCAGAACTATGAGACAATTGATTTCCGTTCTTAGAAGCTACTGACAGTTTGGTAACTTTATTGCAGGTACCCTAGGAAACTAATACTGTGGCTGCCCATGCTGTGGATTGGCTGAATGTGGCTGGAGCACACCACATGCTAAACGTGAGCTGCCAGCTAAGGCTGGTGTCTCCCAGCCACTTGAGTCTGTCACCACTGGCGATCTGGGAAAAGAATGTCCCCAAATGCTCCCATCTAGCTGTCTACCATCCATACCAGTCCCCACCAGCAGCAACAGCAATAATACACTCAGGGTGTCTTGTTCTTCACCTTATCACTAGTGCTGAGAACAGGGACTGGCTCAGGAGTGCTCAATGGAAAGATCTGTGAATGAATGATCATTTTGGTGGCTGGCATGGCAGCTCCGTACCTGGGTCTGATGTATGCATCTCACGAACTCTTCCCTGGAACCCTGCTGGGAAATCAGCCACAGCCCATTATACAGACAACTGGGTCTCAGGTGAAGCCACTGGCTCAGAGACCACTGCCAAGTAGGGAGCAGCAGGGTCCCAATGTGGCCCAGGTCTGACTGACCCTGGACTCATGCTCAAGGTGTCCCGTTGCCACCCCACTTCTCTCTTTCCCAACACCCCCTGCTTTTAGCCCTGTCACACATATGTGGGGGCATTGGAGAGCCCCATACCCCCTGCAGAGGTAGCAGCCCTTATCCTCTCGGTGGCTTGAAGGCAATGACGTACTGCCCTGTCCCCAAATGAGGCCCTGAAGAAAGGCTTGAGCTGACAGTTCACTGGAGGTTTAGGGTGTACCCCTGTAAGGGTCCCCACTCTCCCATCTTCATGGTTCTGTGACCAGTAACTAAAATCACTGTGTTGAAGCTGGAAGAGGCCTTTAAGGAGCTAGTCCCACCCCTCATTTTCTGATGAGACCCAGAGAGGTTCAGTATCTGGCCCTGTGCTACTGCTCCAGCGTGAAAGCTGTCTGCCACCAGCCAGTCGACCCTTCCTCCCTCCCCCTCCTCCAGGGCACTAGCCATTCCTGGGCAGCTGCTGTCACAGAGCCAGAAAAGGAGCCCCAGGTCATCAGCAGCACAGCCCACGGAGCCATGGTGAGGAGGCCCCATAGAAGGAACTATGCTGAAGAGAAGTTATTTCCCGTGCCTCTTCTCGGTCCCGGTGCCCCTCACAACCCTCCAAGCACCCTTGGCAGGTTGATGCACAACCCCCAGTGGAGTGCAGCCCCTTGCTGACCACCCCCTTGGTGGCCGGTGGAGTCGGTGCAGAAGCCAGCTTGCTGGCGCGCTGACCCAGCCGGAGGAACGGCCTCATGCCCCTGCCTGCTGCTTTTCCGTGTGAAAGGTGTTTAATTATTTCTGACAGAGTTCAGCATCGACATCTGTTCGTGAGCAGGGAGAGTCCATTTAGGCTATCCATCACCGTGACAGGTTCAACTTTTTTGGAAGCGCTTTTCCTCTTCATAATGGGGTCTGGGTGGGGGAGGGGTGGGCGGTGGATCAGTAGGGACCCGGAGGCACAGACAAAGACCCTCCTGGGGCTTTGCTCTCTTGCCAGCCGCAACCCTTCCCAGGGTAGGACTGGCCCTGGCTGCACCAGGCCTTCTTAATTGTTCCCTCATCCCCCTGTCCAGCCCATGAGGGTCGGTGGGTGCTGGAGCCTTTCGGGTAAGAAGGGAGCTTTTAGTAAGTAGGTCTGTGACTGGCTTTTAAATTCCTCCATTCTAGGCTGCCCTGGTCAATGATTCTCCAGACACTTACTGGTCCTCTACTATGTGCCATGCACTGTGTTAATACTTGGGGCACAAAGCCGACATGGCCCTCCTGGGGCTCACATTCCACAGGGAAGATGGAAACAGATCTAATTGCACAAGTTAATTAGCTGCAGTGTTGGTAACTGTACTGAGCCAAACCTGCTGTGGGCGGCTCAGAGATGCGAAAAGGAATCTTTGTAAGACATCAAAGACCAGCCTTGGGATTAGGTGGTTCAGAGAATCTGGGACCCCTTTTCTACCAGGAAAGATCCTTTACTTCCCTAGGCCTCAGTGTCCACATCAGTAGAATGGGTACATAATAACCTATGAGACAATGTACACCTGGCACTTAGCACATAGTAAGGGTTCCATAGGACATTGCTGTCACTCTCCACCAGAGAAAGGACTGAGTATCTGTCTGTAAAGGCAGCTCTCTGGGGACCCAACCATCTCTTCTGGGCTATAGAGGACAGTGGCTAGGTGTAAGTCTGCTCTGGGAACCTCACATGAGTCCCTGTTTCCTTTGATCAGTTAGACAGGAGTGACAGTGACCCTGCTCCCTCATAAAATCCTCAGACACGATGACACACACCGCATACACGCTGAGGTTTGCATTTTAACCCGCTGTCCCATGCTCTAGGATACACAGTAAGCAGTGTCTAGATGCTTGGGCTCTGCAGTCACACAAAGCCGGGTTCCAGGCCTGCCCTCCCTGGGCGAAGCAGGACCCCGCCTTTCTGACTCTCACCTGTCCAATGAGAACGATGACGTCTGTTCCACTGGACACTAAAAAGGTATTGTTTCATTGTTGTTGTTTATAAAAATTATCTAAGGACTGAGAGAGAGCCATGGGCAGCCAGGCAAGCTCTCTCTCTGAAAGCAGAAGCTCATTTATTTATGCATTTAGCTCATGCAATGCGCCTGGCACACTAGTGTGTCAGAGACGGTGAGGCTGGCACAGGATATTGGGGGGTTCAGATCTGTTGTTCAGAGTTGCTATGATCTGCAGTTGATCTGATGGTACCTATCACCACCACAAGCCTGGCACTAGGAGCAGCTCCCAGCACAATCAGTGTCAGTTGGGCATGGAGACGGTGAGGTGAGGAGAAGCCATGTTTCTTGTTCTGCTGGAGGAAATACCTCTGCACTCTCCCTGACCACTGGCCTGGATAGTTCTGTTCTAAGTGGACGCTAAAGTGACTACACGGGGCCAGGAATTGGTGCTGCACGTGGGCATCACATCTCATATCCAGAGAGCCAGGGGTTCTACCCTTCCTCAGGCAGCATCCCTGGATGCTTATGCCCTGTGGACACCAGGGAAAATGAAAAAGAAAGGAGTTATTTGCTGTTGGGAAATAACACTGATGTATTTATGGAACCCTTACTACAGGGTAAGTGCCCTCCTAGGCAGCAGATCAAGGGCTAGGAAGGTGGCAGTGAAAGGAAACTGCTGAGAGTGAGAACGAGAAGGAAGAGGGAGGGAAGTTGTTGAACAAAGCAGAAAATTGAGAGGGGCAGAGAAACTAGAGGGGACTGGTGACTGGGAGCGCGCACAGGGCCGGGGCATGGTGCATTTCAGCGATCCCTCCACCTCCTGCACAGCACTCTGTCACATTCTTCCTTTAACACGTGCTGTGCCGTGTGCTAGGAGGTGGTGGCCATGGGCTGACAGGCAGCCAGGTGAATGGTCACTGACATATGCTGATGGAGGCCACTCGGGCAGGGCATGAGAGGTCACATCAAGGCGGGCAGAGCAGCTTTTTCTCACAAAGCTCAGCAGCTTGTTCAAGTGCATTATCCTCACAGAAGCATCAGCCCCTTCACTGTCTCAACTGCAGTTTAATGCAACATGATGCTGGGTCCGGGCTGGCAGGGAATGCTGTTTACTCAGCTGTCTTTCTAGGGGCAAGGGAAGAGGGACGTCCTCTGTGGCCACACAGAAAGGCCTGCTATGCTCAGACTGTGCATATGCAGCCAGCTACTTCCCATGCTGGGGCCAATATCCTCAAATATCTCATTTTTCTTCCTCTTACGCTGTTCTTTCCTAGCTAGAAGCTGCTAAAAAATAACACCACCAGGTGTAGGTGGGCTCAGTTCTGGGACTAGAGCGTGGCAGGTGACCAGAGTCCTGGTCCCATCTGAGTGCACGTTGTTACCTCTGTCAGTTGACAGTAGACTATGCCCCCACCTCCTTTGGGGACCTGCCCTGTGAACCCCAGCACCATAAGGGAGTTCAGCCCACACAGTATCTACAATGGGTGGACATATACACAGGCTCTGCTGCCTTTCAGATGGCCTGGGTTCAAACCTGGGCTCTATCACCTACAAACCATCTTATAGGCCAGTTTCTTGGCTATGAAGATGGCAATAGGAACTCCACCTTAGCACTTAGTGTCTGGTACCTTAGGTAATAACTCAGTAAGTGTTAGTGCTATTGTTATGATCATTATTGCTATGCCAATGGATGGTTAAAACAAAAACAAACCACCCACTTGTTGAGGTGACTTGAAGTCCCTGAGTAATACAAGCAGTTAAGCACTCAGTTACTAAGCAAAAGGTTGGAAGTTTGAACTCACTTAGAAGCACCATGAAAGAAAAACCTGATGATACGCTTCCAAAAGGTTAGAACCTTGAAAAACAACAGAAGCCAGTTCTGTGCTGATATGCATGAGGTTGCAATGAATAAATGGTTAAAAAGTCCCCAGAACTGCTATGGAGATGATAGGAAGAAACCAGAAAGGCTCTAACTTCCTCCCGTGGGTGCAGGAAAGGGTAAATGGGGGTGAGTTCTGACCTTCTGGAAGTGAGGTATGCGCCACAGCTCGTCTGGTTTCACCGGTGGCATGTACTTCCTCAGCAGACTGCTCCGTGTATTGTACAGCTTCCCGAGGATCATCTGCAGGCCAGAGGGAAGCAAAGGCAGAGAAAGTTACATGGGCAGCCTGTGCGAGGAAGGGACGATGCAGGGCAGAGACACGATTTGTAGTCGGGCAGACCTGGGGTCCTACCCTGGCTGAGCTTTGCTCTGGTTTCTAATCTCGTCCTAGAACCCATGGAGTTCTGGATTACCACTGTCTTGAGGGCAGGGACTATGTCCCCTGCAGCTGGCACACGGCCTGGTGGGTCATAAGTACTTCACAGCGTTCAGATGGCAAAATGCACAATTTGGTGGATTGTTATTATCCTTTTGGAGAGGCGTTCAGGACTCCAATTCTGAGGCCACAGTGGCGTGTCTTCAGGAGGCGATTTCAAGAAGTATAGAGGACATCTCGATTCTTCTTAACTGCCTGTCCTGTACTCAGGTCTACAGTTAGAGTCCTGTAATTTATGTGGTTCAAAGTCTCTAATCTCACAATCAGCTGGGGTGGGGTTCAGGATGGTGGATAACACTCCCCTCAGAGGATTTCCATGCCCAGGGAACCCTCCTCATCTCAAGTCATCTCATCCTTGTGGCAATTTAAGAATTTAAGGGGGGAGCTGGAAAGCTGTCCACCCGGTTGACACCTACACGTTTGGTGTGAAGAACTGGAGCCCCACGCCTGGTAAGGTTGAGGGCACAGTCTTGGTGAGCAAAGTGGAAGAGGATGCTGAGACTCAAATGACACAAAGAAGCCAGCAGAGACAGGAGACCTCATTACCATCAAGAAAGGACTGTCAGGAGTGGACCTGAGTCCACTACATGGCTGCAGGCTGAGACACACGGAGTTCCTCTCCAAGAAACAGAAGCCCTACAGATGCTGAAGGAGACAGAGAACACTTTCCCCTATAGTGGCAACTTGAATTTGGACTTGGCACAATGGGCTCAAGTATGTCAGAGATGATGAGGACGGCACAGGATAGGACAGGGATCGGGTCTGTTGTTCATAGGGTTGCTATGAGCTGTACTGGACTCAGTGGCATCTAACCAGAAGATACTAGAATATACCCTTTACCTGCTAGCTTCATTTAAGGATGGGAGAAATAAGGTTCGGTGGGGTTAGGCCATCAAGGTCCCATACCATTATGTGGTAGAATGAGAGTTCTATTCAGATCAATAGACATTAGCAGTAAGTGTGCTATGCTGTTTGCTGTGAGCTCTGTGTCTTGGTGGATTATCTGTGAAGCTGGGATCACTGGAACTTTGAGGTGTCTAATCCAGGCCATCTTCTTTTGATGCTTTCTGGCTCATTCAATATGTTGCCCGTAGCATCTTTCAACATGGCAACACAAGGCTTAAATTTGTTTTCCAGTTGAAAGGCAGAGCGAGTTCTTCCCTTTTTTTCCTCCAATTCCCGCTTTCTGCACATTCCATTATAATACTTTGCTTTGTCCTCCAGAGCTGACCTTTGAAACCATCTGGTCCGCTCTTTCATTTAAACATGTTTTCCTTTAGATTTAGCTTCTCAACGGTCCAGTACAATCTTTAGAGTCTCGTCTGGCATTCATTTTGTTGTTTTTTTTTCTTTCTTTCTTTCTCCTCTGTTTTTGTAATGACTTTTTGCTTCTTCCATGGATGATATCCTTGATATCATCCCACAACTCGTCTGGTTTTCTATCATTGGTGTTCAACGCCTCAAGCCTATTCTTAAGATGATCATGAAATGCCGATGTAATTGATTCAAGATTATATCTTGGTTCCTATGGACTTATCTTAATTTTCTTTGGCCTCAATTTAAACTTGCATATGAGTAGTTGATGATCTGACAGAAAATTTGTTGCTGGCCTAGTTTTGACTGCTGATATTGAGCTTCTCTGACCATTTCTTCCACAAATGTAGTCAATCTGATTCCTATGCAGCCCATCCAGTGAAATCCACATGTAAAGTCATCTTTTGCATCTTTTAGAAAAAGTATTTATAATGAATAAATAATTGTAAATACAAAATTCAATCAGCCTATTTCCATTTCTATCACCAAGCTCATATTTTCCAACTACTATTCCTTCTTCATTGTTTCCTACTTCTGCATTCCAGTCACCAATTATCATTAGCTCATCCTGATTGCATGTTCAGTCAATTTCAGACTGAAAAATTTGGTAAAAATTCTCAATTCCTTCAAGTTTGGCACTAGCTTAGGAGCATATGCTTGAATAAGAATCATGTTAATGGCTCTTCCCTGTATGCATATGGATATTATTCTATCACTCACAACATCATATTTCAGAATAGAACTTGAAATTGACTTCTTGACTATGAATGCAACACCATTCTTCTTCTGTTTTTCATTTCCTGCATCGTATTCCATATGATTATCTGATTCAAAGTGGCCATAGCTGGTCCCACTGCATCTCACTAATACCTGGTATGTCAATATTCATGCGTTCCATTTAATTTGTAGCAACATCCAGTTTGCCAACATTCAAGCTATGAACATCCCATGTACCAATTGTTAAGCGATGTTTGTTACTGATTTTCCTCATTTTAACTAACTTCCAATCCGGGCTCTACCACTACACTACAGTACTATCCTCCTTGTTTAGTGTTCATACCCTTGGTACGAGCACTTGGAAAATAAGGAGACACATTGCAATGGGAAAATCTGCAGTTAGGGACCTTTCCAAATTATTGAGGAGTAGTGATATCAATTTGAGGACTAAGGTGAGTCTGATTACTAGCTATGCATCCAAGACCTGGACAATGAATAAAGATGACAGAAAAGGAATTGATGTCTTTGAGCTGTGGTGTTGGAGAAGAGCACTGAACATCCTATGGACAGCCAAGAAAATGAACAGATATGTCTTGGAGATGGTGCAGCCAGAGTGCTCTTTGGAAGCAAGAATAATGAGGCTTTGTCTCACATACTTTGGACATATTGCTAGGAGGTGCTATTCCTTGGAGAGGGACATGATGTTAGAAAGAGGTGGAGGGTTGGCGAAGGAGAGAAAGACCCTCAACAAGGTGGACTGATAAGGTGACTGCTACAATGGGCTCTTGTGTGCCACGAAGTGTGAGGATGGCGCAGAACAGAACAAGGTTCAGATCTTCTGTTCATAGGGTCGCTATGAGTCATACTCAACTCGATGGTACCTAACAACAACAACAATCCAGGCCATGGTCTTTGTAATTACTTACTATGCATCAGGGGTCTGGACAATGACTAAGGATGACAGAAGAATCATTGATGCCTTTGAATTGTGGTGCTGGAGAAGGTCTTGATTATATCATGGATGGCCAAGAAAACAAGTAAGTCCGTCTTAGAGAGGGTTAAACCAAGTTTCTCCTTGGAGACTAGGATTTTGAAATTCTGTCTCACATACTTAGAGCATGTATCCACAGGAGGGACAGATCCTTGGCGAAGGACATGCTCGGAAGGGTAGAGGGACAGCACAGGAGAGGAATACCCAAATGAGATGGATTGATACAGTAACTGGGGCAATGGGGATGGGTGTGTCAGAATTAGTGAGACTGGCTCAGGACAAGGCTGGGTTTACAGCTGCTGTACATAGGGTGGCAATGGGTCGCAGGCAACTCAACGGCACACAACAACAACAGTCTGCACATAATTTGGGCATATTGTTAGGAGAGGCTATTCCTTGGAGAGGGACATGATGCTAGGAAGGGTGGAGGATTGGCAAAGGAGAGGAAGACCATCGATCAGGTGGATTGATGTGGTGACTGACTCAATGGGCTTTATGTGTCAGGAAGTGTGAGGATGGTACAGGTTAGAAAAGGGTTCAGAAAAAAAAACTGAAAAAAAAAAAGAGTTCAGGTCTTTTGCTCATAGGGTCACTATGAGTTGTAGTCAACTCAATGGCACATAACAACAGTCTACAGAGATCCCTCCCACGGCCTTAGTCATGTGCTATGCGGCCCTATGTTTCTACAAACCTTTTAACAGTACTATAGTCTTGTATTCTTTTCCTTACATCAGACTTCCAGATTGAATACATTCCAGGGTCCAGAGAACCTGAGGCTGTCTCAGGGTTTGTGTGGTCTTTCCTTCAAGGCAATTTTTCTCTGAGGGTCTGCATCAAGCCAGATAAACTTCCAGGGTCCCCCACAGTAGAACCCCTTCCATGGGACAAGACACAAAGGAGGTGCAATCAGCAAATGAAACCCCACTGAACCCCTTTTATTGATTAATACTATTAATATATTAATAAAATCAGTCGTATTTATTTTTTTAGTCGTATTTATTTTTATTGAATGTATTATGGATCATTTATATCCCCTTTATATAAGTTTATCCTTTCTATTTTCCAGAACATTTTGAAACTATCTTTGAAGTAAGTGGGATAGTAAAAAATTTTTTTCTGAAAAAATCAACTAGTGTTCACTTTGGCAGCACATATACTAAAACTGGAACGATACAGAGAAGATTAGCATGGCCCCCATACAGGGATGACATACAAATTCGTGAAGCGTTCCACATTTTTTAAATGTCAGTATTAGATATCTCAAAATTATGTTAAGTTGAGTAAGCTATTAATCATTTAACAGTTGACTGTACCTTTAGTTTTTAATTATTTAAACTTTTTACATACAACATTTACAGCATGATTTGTTTTTGAATCATGTGTTTTTTGATGCGAGTATCAAGACATCGAAAGTAAATAAGTTTGAAAAAAGAATTGAAATAAATGTCAAATATTTGAAAAGCCCCACAAAACCCAATTAAACAGAGAGGCCGTCTATCTAGTGGCGCCTAAAAAGCCCAGGTCTACGCTGGTGCACGTGTGATGGCCATGAGTTAGTCAATTTGATGACAACTGGTATGTTAAAAAGAGAGTGGGCTTTTTTTTTTTTAAACAGGAGTCACTCAAAGTTTATGCTTTCATTTGGCCCCCAAAAAAATATGCCTTTGGGGGCTTCAAATTATCTTTCCAGATACAACTCAACATCTGAATTAGAACACTACCCCGCCCCCACCACCCACCTCAATTTCTCTTGGGAAATTCCTTCCCAAAATAAAAAATAGAAAAGTGTTCCCAGCTCAAGGTCCTGTTCTGGGAAGGCGTCTTCCTTTCCAGGTGCTTTAAAATTCCAGTGAGTGATGGTGACATGTCCAGCTGAGGGTCTCTGGCCGGCATCACATGACTGCACAGCATGAGTTCTATTTCCGGGGACAGGCTTATAGAAGGCTTTAGACTGCGTTCCCAGCACTTACTTCTGACTTAGACACCACGTCATCCAGCTTCTCTCCTCGCTCTAACAAAGACTCCTTGGTGTTGTGCAGAATGATTTTGCTCTCATCTAGTTCAGCCTGCACTTTGGTCATGGGGTCAGCTTCCCGGGAGTTCTGGTATTTAATAAGGTGACCATCCAAGGCTATGATTGTGGCAGGCGATCCCACTGGCCAGTCTATCCTGTCCACCTGCTTGGAGAACTCATCGAGTACTTTCTCCAGCAAAGCAAAAGCCACTCGGGAAGGATATTCACTGTGGGCAATGGCCACACCTGCGAGGCTGTTGTTTCGGATGTAGACATGGCACAGGTACTCTTGTTCTTTGACAAATGCTCTTTTGCCTTTTACTGAGCACTCCACAATCAGCTGTCATGAATTCCTGAACACTGAACCTTTGGAAGAAACTGGTGTGTGGGCTTTTGTATCAGAAAGATGTGGACAAGACACGTAGCCTTTCTATGGCTTGGTTCCTTCCTCTGGATAATGGGGTGCTGATGCTTACCACATGGTGTACTCATAGGAGTCACCGAGTTAAGCTTTGAACAGTATCTAGTGAAGGTCAAACTCACTCACTAAATGGTAGCACTGGGGGAGGACTGTGTTTGGGGCCACCACTGCCCCAAAGCCAAGGCACCCTAAGGAGGAGTCCCCTTGGCTGGTCAGGCACCTGGTGCTAGAAGCAGCTGCTAATGGAGTGTTTAGGGCAGAGTCACAGAGGGCTGCTCAGCTGGAAAAGGATGGAGACTCTCAACAAGGTCTTTTTGTAGAGTCAGAAAATCGGTCTCCGGAGGCTCGGCTTTCTGTGCTTACCCGACACTCTCGGTTGTCATGAAATAGCTGCTAATTAAAAAACACGGCTGTCATATTGGGCTATAAAACAGTTTGTAATGGCAATGCTCCCTCTGAAACTGGTCATTACCATCGTAAACTGACTCTTGCTTGAGCCATTAACGGATAAACTCGTCATGGGCTGCTTTTAAAATGTTATTACGATGCTGTGCTCTTTAACGAGCCTGCCTCTTGGACTCTGCTGACTGTTGAGGTGGGTGTGGGGTAGAGATGCCAAGAAGAGCCAGGCGAGGCCTCTGTGCTCAGCCAAGGCCTGGGAGCCCTCAGCCCCCCTCAGGCCGTACCCCTCCTGGCCCATCAGGAAGGTGTTCTGTAACTGAGAGGCCAGGATTCCTGTAAGTGGCTCCCAGCATCATAGGTGCTGTTCAGTTTTGAACTTGCTGAGGTTTCCCACAAAAGTAGGATGTAGGACAGGCTTTAAAGAACCTGGGTTCTGGGGTTGGACATACCTGGGTCCAGGCATAGCTCAGATGTCTTTGGAAAATCTCTTAATCTCTCTGAGCCTCAGTTCCCCCAAATAAAGAGGAAACAAATGGAGATGGTGTCAGTGACCTCATGAAGTTGTTGGAATGATTAAATGCACGAGGGCAGGGAATGTGCTCACCCAATACCTTAAAGGTGGTTCTGGCTGTGGTGGCTATAACCACCAGTGACACTAAAGCCATGCCCTTAAGGAACCTATAAAGCATTTTGTGAACACAAAGCAATTTTTATTTTCACAATGATCAGTTTGTTGTTGTTGTGTACTTTTGAGTTGGAACTGACCCTCCTGTGGGTTTTCAGAAGCAGTAAATCTCATAGGAAGAGATTGCCCAACTTTCTCCCAAGGATCTGTTGTTCTTAAGTGCCATCAAATCAAGAATGATTTATAGTGACCCTGTGAATAAAAGATCTGAACCCTGTTCTATCCTGTGCCATCCTCACACTTTTTGACACACAAGAGCCTATTGCAGCAGTCACCATGTCAGTCCACCTGGTTGAGGTTCTTCCTCTCCTTCACCGACCCACCATCCTTCCCAGCATCATGTCCTTCTTCAAGGAATAGTCCCTCCTAGCAACATGCCCAAAGTATGTGAGGCAAAGCCTCATCATTCTTAACTCCAAAGAGCACTTAGGCTGCATCCTCTCCAAGACATATCTGTTCTCTTGGCCGTCCATGGAATGTTCAGTGTTCTCTAACACTATGGCTGAAAGGATTTTCTGTCATCCTTGTTCATTGTCCAGCTCTCAGATGCAAAGCAAATAATTGGAGAGACTATGGCCCAAATCAAACACATTTTAGTCCTCAAACTGACATCATTACTCCTCAATAATGTGGAGGGGTCCCTAACTACAGATTTCCCTAGTACAATATGTCTCCTATTTCCTGAGTGCTGGTACCAAGGGTGTTAATTGTGGATTCAAGAAAGATGAAGCTGTTGATGGTTTCAGTTTCCCCTCCATCCATTCGAACTGTGTACCTTTGTACTGGCAGTGCAATTCCTTACCACTAAGTCACCAGAGTTTAGAGCTGCTGAAAAAAATAAAGAGGCCAATGTGAGCACTCAGAAAGTCTAAATTCTGGAATATTTTAAAGGAATAACAATTTCAATATTTTGTTCAGAGCAATGCAAAATTAGAAGCTGTGATGGTTTTTCTTCAGGTAAAAATTTCTCCAGGCTGACTTTCTGCCAGTTGCGAACAATGCATCTTATTCATCAACAGCAGTGTGTGCCAGTGGAGACAACAAAGATTCAGAAGTTCATCAGTGCCCAGCTCCGATTTCCCCAGCATGGCCCCACCTCTGCAAGCCAACACTTCCATACTTGGGAGGCAAGGATAATAGCACCCACCCTCTGCATGCTTTTGGGAGACATGAATGAAATGATGCATCTAATGTACAGAGTCCCTAGATGGAGCAAATAGTTGAGGGTTAGCTGCTAACTGAAATGTCAGCAGTTCAAATCCACTCATCAGAAGAAACGGCAGGTGATCTACTTCTCCAAAAAAAGCAGCCACTGAACACCCTACAGACTGCAAAATCAAAAGCCGGAAACAACTCAAATGCCTGCCAACAGATAAATGAATAAACACAAGGTGGTACAATGAAATAGTACTTAGTTAACAGGAGAAATGAAACCTTTATGATGGTGCAATACGGATGGAATGTGAAGACAATGCTGTCAATCACAGCACAAATTGATCATGAAAGGGCAAATGTTGTATGGTATCATTAATAAAAAATGATAAGAAAAGGCAAATGTATAGAGAACAAAGTTTCTTAATGGTTATCAGGACAAGAGGGAGAAAAAAGGGGGAGTCACAGCCAGTTACTGTCAATTGCTATCAATAAGTTTTACATGCAGAAAAAGTTGAATCAGCCAAAGTTGGATGGTAGATATGTTTACAAAACAGAAAGTATCAATAGAGGCTGAACGTGTACAACCAAAAACCACATGAGCTTCGGTTTCCTGGTTTGGAGGCCTGAAGTCATAGTTAATTGATCCAATAAGAAGCGTAGTCCTCTCTTCTATTCTACCACCTAACTCATGCATAGTGCGCGGGATCTTAAGAGCTTCCAAGTTGGCCATGTAAGGCATAACAGCTGGTCCCTATTCACCTGGAATAACAGGGGAAGGAAAGTCAGAAACAAGGAGAGGACATGGAATGTGTGGCTAGATGCCTTCATAAACAATTACCTCCTCTGTCAAGAGACCAGAAGAATTGGATGGTGTCAACATGGACATTTTAATCAAGATCCTACAGTGCACAGTAACTCAGGAAAAAGTGATGAGATGGTCGCCCAACGCGAAGAATGTAATCAATGTAAGTGGAGAAACTGCTGAATTCCTGTATGTGTTGCTGTGTGTACTCTCAACGGCCACAAAATAAATAAAATTATACTCAAACAATAAAAAGAAAACCACATGGCATACAATTCTACTCAGACCATTGGGGCTGCCACATTGTTTATATAATATACAAGAGTCTATTCACTAATTGTAACAAAACGTACTTCTCAGGTTTCCTGCTTTCTGTGTTCTTTTCAGTCCCAGCACTGTAGTCCGTAAGGAGTTGCACTGCTAACTCAGTGCAGCACTTTCTAGCTTTGAATCCACTAGCTGCTCGCCAGAAAAAAGACCAGCAATCTCCTCCCGGGTGACTTACAAAGCCTTTACTAAATTCACTGGAGGGTCAGCTATGAGTCAGTTTAGACCTGAGAGCAATGAGTATGTATTCTTTAGAGTTATCTTCCAGAAGCTGGTTTTCACTTTAACCTCTTCCTTTTTCTTTATAGATCAATTGTACAGGGCACACTCCATCCAGGCAGGTGGGATTAGATGAAAATCAGATCTTTGGATGTCTAAACTGTTTGGTGCAAGAGGCCCCAGGCAGAGTTCTGGACACACAGAGCCAGTCCCTTAAACACAAAGGTCTTAAGTAGGAGACCGACCTGATAATCACCAAGGTCCTACTCAGCTTTGAAATTCTCTGATGCCTGATTAACAGGACAATAAGCAACTTGATTCCCCACCTTTACCTTTAATGACAAACACATGCAAATGTTAAGCCAAGATTTGCCAGGGTCAGCCCTGTGTCCCTTTTCCCCACAACAATCCAAGACCCAGGCACTATGGCTATGTTTACCTTCTGTTTTTTCTCCATTTTAATGGCCTTCTGAGCAGCCTTTTGCTCCTGGACCCACAGCTGTTGGTACCGGTGCTGCAGCAGATCAAAGAATGGTGTCGAAGGCCTAGAGGGAAGTACAGACAGGGTTTGAGGTCTTGGAAAAGTCAGTGTCACCCTTCCCCAGTATGTAGTGCCTGCCTAACTGTGCAGGGCTGGAAAGCAAGCCTGAAGCCCCATCCCTACCCTGCACAAGCTATGTGAAGGGCAGAGTCCTTGCACAATTCATTCAACATTTACTCAGGCTTACCAGGTTCTGGGGCTGGCAATGCTCTTGTAAAGAATCTGCAATCCTTGGGTGCTTGTTCTGTGCTAAACATTGTACATGCCCCATCCTTGGTGGCACATAACAACAGGGTACAATTATTAACATCTACCACCCAACTGTCAGTTTATTGTCCTTCATGGCTTTTGTGCTTTAATGCTGGAGGCTGTCTCATCGGTGTTTCAAATACCAGCAGGTTTACTCATGGTGAACATGATGCAGCTTCCAGAATTGAAGAAAAGTCTGACAATCATCTTCTGAAATTGATCAATGGGAAACCTATGGATCACAACAGAATAGCATCTGACACAGCGCTGAAGAATAGTCTCCTAGGTTGGAAGGCCCTCAAAGCACCAAAAATGGACTTGAACATGCCGTTGACCGTGAGAATGACACAGGATCAGCTGTTTCTTTGTGTTATACACGGGGTCACGATGAGCTGGAGATGACCCTGTGCAACTAAAACATTACTAAATCCCAGAGCAGTGAGGGAGGATCTCTAATGATCAGACACAGTCAGCCACAAGCTTCCACTGCAACGTGGACTTCACATTCTTACAGGCAAGTGAGCAGAACCACAGAGAGGACCATTTCATTGGCTTTAAAAGAGAACCAGGCAGACTATTCCTAGTGGACTAGATTCTGAGGAGGAAAAAAAAAAAAAGATGTGCACAGAAAACCAGAGCTGTATTGAGCAGAATTAGAAAATTTAGGGAGCTCTGGTGGCCTAGTAGTAAGAAACTGCGCTGCAATCCCAAAGGCAAATGGTTTGAATCCACCAGCTGCTCTGTGGGAGAAGGATGGGCAATCTCTTCCCATGGGAGATTTCCTACCTCTAAAAACTGACTGGAAGGTCAGCTACGGGTGGGTTCCAACTTGAAGGCACACGACAAAACAACATCAGTGGTACATTGTTAAGTGTTATTTTATAATCTTGATGTTCTTTTATTGTAAAGTTTTTAACATTTAAAAATAATTTCTTACTGTTGTTGAGACCATACACGGCAAACACCCACTAGAACAGTTCCTGCATGGACATTTCAGTGACATTGATTCTTGGAGTTGTACCATCATTATTGTACAACCCTCCTTTCCTGAGCTGATCTTTTCCATTAACATAAACTCACTGCCCCCTAAGGTTCCTTGCTATTTTTTGAGTTGCTATTGTCAATCTGATCCCACAGAGATACTTCTTAAAAAAGCATAATGCTCAAGGCAGATGTTCTTTGCTAGTTAAGCTAAACTGTGGTCTGATTTGAAGAAGACTGCATGACCTACTGGGAGGCTAAGCAAAAGGTCAGGGGTGGTCTAAGTTCCCCAGCTGACATGTGGGAGGAAGATGGGCAGTTTCCTCCCATAAAGATTTACAGCCTCAGAGGCCCAATGGAGGGTCTCCATGACTGGGAATCAATGCTGATGGCAATGGATATTCACAATTCAATCTTATTTACAGAAACCAAAAAAGACTTGAAGCACTTTCTGATGAAGACCAAACACTACCACCTTCAGTATGGACTACTCCTCAACATAAGGAAAATGTCACTCACAACTGAACAACTAAGCAATATCATGATAATAGGAAGACGACAGAAGGTGTCAAGGATTACCTGGATCAATGCCTATAGCACTAAGAGTAGGGGAAACCAAGGAAATTATTTCATTGGGCACATCTACTGCCAAGAAACTCTTTGAAGTGCTAAAAAGTAAGGATGTCATCTTGAGGACTAAGGTGCGCCTGACTCAGGCCATGGTATTTTCTATCTCCTCATATGCATGCAAAAGTCGGACAATAAATAAGAGTGAAGAAGAATTGATGTCTCTGAATGGTGGTGTTGACAAGAAGTACGGAACATAATCAGAGACTACTAAAAGAACAAATAAATCTACCCTGGAAGAAGGTCTGAACAGTCAGAACGTTTCTTAGAAGCGAGAATGCTCCACATATTTTGAGCACGTTATCAGGAGGGAGAAGGCATCATAAAACTACTAGGGAACTAAAAGAAATCCTCCCTGGTCAACCTGATGTTACTAGGTCACTAATAAAGAATCAAGTGTCTCTCTCCCCTCCCTGCACTAACTGCTGTAAGGGAACTTGCCTAGTTTCAGGAGTGAGGAGGAGAATCAATATTAACATCAGCCCAAGACTAATTCCAATGAGGCAGAAGTCACAGATGCCTCCACTCTCCAACTTTTTAACTAATTTTGACACCAACTATCCCTCCCACTGCTTCTATGTCTCTGCCTGGTTTGATAATTTATTGCAATGACTACATAAAACTCACAGGGTTTTATTAGAAAAGTAACACGTTCAACACAGGATATAATTTTTCTGTCAGAACAGCTTCTCTGACCATGCCTGCAGACAGGTCTCTGCTCCCAAACCCTGTTTGGACCTGGGCCCTTAACTCAGCCTCTAGAGGGCAGGCACCTCTCAGTTCCCAGGGCAAGCTCCTGGGAGGGGCAGGAAGACTTTCATGACAGTCCCCTCTGAGCCTGGCTGGCCTCTGTCCTGCTCAAGTTAAGTATTACAGAGTTCTTTAGCTCTATCAATTAAGGGCCTGAAGACATTCCATTCTGCCTGGCAGCCTCTGGCCTGGGTGCCCAGCTTTCTAACTCAGCAGGTCAATCTGTGCACTAGAGCTGTCACCAGCCCACTGCCCACCATTCTGCTGCTGTCATTTATTTGCCTCACATGCCAACACTTCTTGCCATCTCTGGTGTTACAGCTCTGTCTTCGGTCTAGGAAACTCAATTCAGGGACGCTGAGAGCAAAGGACATGCTCCTCTCCTGGCTCTTCTTGTTTGATGAAGGCGAGGTCCCCATTCTGCTCTGTGATTGCATCTGTTTTTAAGCCTGGGAGATCATAAAAACTCACCAAATCTCTTCTTATTGTTCTAAACACCTTATTTGCACGACACCACCCCCACAAGGTTTTTATGTTCCTCATGTGTATTATTAGCAGGCTATCCACTCGCCTGGGCTCCAGAAATTTTTATTTGCATAATGTCATCTTACTCTTTGTGTGGGCATCAGGAAGACTATGGCTAAAAGAGTCATATTAAGTCATCGCACCACAACTATGTTTCATGATAACCAAATAGGTAATAAAGGAAAGTCCTTTATAGAAGAAACAAGACCAATAAAAGCAGCAGGAATGATAGATGAAGTGGAGGTGGGGAGTCACTGCTGTGTGGCCACTGCAGTGGGTTATGGGTTGTTCTGCTAATGAGAAGGTCAGTGATTCAAATGTACCAGTTGCTCCTCGGTAGAGAGATGAGACTGTCTGTCCCGCTAACGGTACAGCCTTGGAAACCTACTAGAGGACTGAGACCGAATCATCCCCTCAACAGTGCATTCGTTTGTTTACTGTTGTTTTTTTAATGAAATAAAATATTTAGGCAATGTTCATCAACAACTGTTAAAATGATTGTTGGAAGGGTTGATGGGACTTTATAATCAATGGATCAGGCTGACAGCAGCTGAACTGAAGGATCAGTCGTAGCACCACTGAAAGTGTGAGGTTGTGCCGGTGAAGCAATAGGAGAGATGCAGCGCCACCTACCATGCATTTTATTAAAACACATAACTGCTCTGCAGAAGACACTGTTGGGAGAATCAAAAGATGAACTGCACTGTTAAGATCATCAAAGATAACTCACATCTCTCATAAAAGCCTAGTATGCAAAGAACTCTTAAAGTTCAACAAACTACCTAATTTTTTTAAATGGGCAAAGAATTTGAAAAGATGCCTTGTTGATTACAGGTGACAACTGAAAGAAAGAAGGCCCGCTGGTATAAGTGGAAATAATGTGACAAATAAATTAAAATAAAATAAAATAAATAATAAAATAAAATAAAATATTGGACTGTAACTCAAATTATAATATAAGTGCCCATTAGTCCATCCTGATACAAAGAATAAAGGTGACGTGTGCAAGGTCCCTCAGCTAAAGTCCAGGGATGGCAAACTAAGAGCCTCCTGATTTGTGTTTTGCTAGAAATGCATAGTGAGCTCTTTGAAATTGTTGCCAATGCTTAAACATAGGGAGACTTAACATAAAAACTCATATTTCCAGTTTTTCAGGAAAAATTGGACGGTCTGACAGCATGTGGTTGTTAGGTTCTGTCCAGTCAAGTACTATTCGTAATGACCCTATGAACAGCAGACCTAAACCTTAACCTATCCCTGCCATTCTCATGCTTTCTGTCACACTCTAGTCCACTGCAGTGGTCATTGTGTCAATATACCTAGTTTAGGGTCTTCTCTCTTTCACTGACCCTCCACCTTAACAAGCATGGTGTTCCTCTCCAAGGAATAGCCTCTGAAGTATGTGAGATGAAGCTTTATCCTCCTTGCCTCCAAGAAGCGCTCTGGCTGCACGTTCTCCAAGACGTATCTGTTCTTTTGGCAGTCCATGGGACATCAGTTCTCTTCTCTAGAAACACAGCTCAAAGACATCAATCCTTCTTCTGTCATCTTTATTCGTGGTCCAGCTCTTAGATACACAGCAGGTAATCAGAAAGACCGTGGCCTGAAACTGATGCCCCTTAGTCTTCAAGTGATGTCATTGCTTCTCAGTAATAAAAGAGGTCCCTGACTACAGACATTCCAAATGCAATACGTTTCCCACTTTCCTGACTGCTGGTACCAAGGGTGTTGATTGTGGATTTAAGTAAGAGGAAATTGTTGAGAGTTTCAGTCTTTTATACATCTATCATGATGTCGTCTATCAGTCCAGTGGCAAGACTTTGTTTTCTTGACGTTGAAATGTAATCCATATTGCAAGTGGTAATATTTAAT